CTGGCCCCCGCCCCCACGGCCCCGCCTCTCCTAGTCCCTCCCTAGTCCCACCGGACACACCAAGGCTGCCCATTGGCTGCTGGAAGGTGTTTACCAGCAATAGGATCCAATGGTAAGCTGTCTCGCCCAGGCCCCTGGGGGGCAGGTAAGGCTCCCGCACCTGTGGGAGGAGGGCTCGCAAGTGGATGCGGGGCCCAGAAGTGGGGCTCTAGTCCCTTTTCTGCCCTGACCCCATGGCCGATTCCCAGGGGCAGGAGACTCTAACCCAAGTCCGCCTCCCCCACCCATGGTCCTGGTCTCGTTTTCAGAGAGAGCCAGGCAGAAACAAAAGCCCAGTGTGCCCAGGACAAAGGAGAAAGGTCCCACTGGTCCTTGTCCCCTCCTGTAGCTCCACTGCACCCCCTCGGGACTGCCACCATGGAAACCCCCTCCCACACTCGCTAATCGCCCCCGTGGGTGCCTGGGGTGCCTGGGACGCGAGCCATTGTCAGGACGACAGGGTTGCGGTTCTGCGGTGCTCATTCCCGGGTACCCCGCCTCTCTACCTCCCAGGGCACCCTCCCCTGCCGCGGGAGGGTTGGGGGCATGGCAGGACTCAGGAGCATGGGGAGAAAGCTTCTGGAATCCTGCTTCCATGGTGGAGTCGTCGGTCTGCCCGTCTGCCCGTCGTGACGGCTGTGCTGGAACATTGGGGTGGCCACCTGTCAGGTCCCTGATTCGGAATGTTTTAGTGACAGGGCCACAGGCTGCAGTAATGCTCTCACTCTACATATGTTCACGTGGTACTTAGTGCCGGGCCGGGGCCTGGGTCCAAGGCAGACCAGCCCGCTCCCAGGGAGCGTGGGGGCGCATTAGAAGTCCAGACCTAGATCTGGAGGGCTTCCTGGGAGAAATCTGAAGCTCGAGCAGACCCCACATCGGCAGCGGTGAACCTGCCCCCCACTACTGGGCACCCACCTGAGGCTGCCCTCCTGGGAGTGCGCCCTCTTCCGCTCCTACCCAGCCGGGGCTCCAGTTAAGACAGGTCCCCGCAGGCTTCTGGGGAAGCCCCGTTAATAATAAGACCCCTTTCTCAGACACCTCTCCGCGCACCCTCCCTCTGCAGGTGGTACTGACAGCCTCATTAGGGAAAGGAGGCCGTGGAGGCCGAGTACCCAGCCTGGGATTGCCATGGGGCACAGCGGCTGGGGTGCAGATCTCTGTGCCTTCCAGACCATGCTGTGGCCTCGGAGTGGGGGCAGTCAATGGAATCTCAGGCACTGGAGCAGATAGGGTGAGGAGACTTGCTCTTGGAGTTCTCCCCAAAAAACCCTCCTGCCCTCCATGGGCTTAGCTCTTCTGGGCAAGTAGGGGAATGGGAAACTAACCACCTGGGCCCAGGCATCTGTCCCGAGGCTGGAAGAAGGGCCCCTGGATATAGACCCTAGGGGCAGGCGGTCTCTGGCTCTGCTGCTTCAGCTGGGGCTGAGTCACTGCCTTTTCTACTCGGAAGCATTTTCTGGGCAGGTGCCATTATCAACCGTCTATGTGGGGAGCCCGCCCGAGCTGAGGGGACAGACCAGAAGAGGACCAGCCCTGCGTCGTGAGAACGCTTTCTTACGTTGCTGTCCTCACAAGGCTGCGCCAGCCCCCACAGCACCTGGGCACTAGTAGGGAAAAGGTGCCTCTCCTGCAGGCACACGCGGCCCTGCGTGGCAGAGGGGAAGTGACCGCTCACCTGTGTACCTTTGTTCCCCGAGCAACCTGTACAACCATACCCAGTGAACCTGGCACACCCAGCTCCCCACAAACCTGTCCGGAAAGGGGCTCAACAAAGGCAAGCCATGCACCTGAGAGCACTCAGCCTGTGGGGACCGAAGCCGGGGTGGCACTCAGCGATGTCCGCTGGCCTGGGTCAGCCCAGAAGACAGGAGTGGGGGAGTGACAAGCTAAGAAGTAGAAGGGCAAATGGATGCCGCCCTGGTAGGGAGCAGGGCCCATGATCTCCATCTGCACTGCCACCCCTGCCAGAGGTTCCCCCCATCCCCGCCCTGTCCCAGGCTCTCAGAGGTCAGACTTGGACTCCCCACAAAGTCTCTGCATAGGAAAGGCCCTCGCTTTTCTCTGAGCATGAGTTTTTCTCCTACAGATAATGGGATAATAATTGCCCCCTCCCAGCCCCAAGCGTGCTCTACCAGTCTCATTATTAAGATTATTGTTCAGTCAGCTCAGGCATCATCCTACCTCACCCATCTCTACCTGGCTCAGCTCAGCCTCAGGTGACTTCCAGGCACTCCTGGCTGGGGCAGAGCAGAACCGCCCTGCAAGCCTGCTTGCCCCAAGTCCCAGAGCCCTGGGCCTGAGCCACAGTTGCCGACCCTGATTCCCTCCCTGCATCCTCAAGGCAAAGACCACCACAGCTAGTGCCTAGCCATGGCAGTCTGGGAGTGGGCACAGAACCACGCTGCTTGCTCTCTGTGCATTTGTGTACCCTCTGGCAGAGAGAAGAGCCTGGCTCCACCATGCTCCAGCTGTGTGACCTTGGTCAAGTCCCATCACTTCTTTGAGCCTCACTTTTCCTCATCTGTAAAAGGCAGAGAATCATAATTGCTACTTCACAGAGTTAAGTGAGGTACAGCACATAATGCCCTCCACACAGTGCCTGGGACGAGGTCAAGAAACCCTTAGATACAGGACACACCGCTCCTGAGTGTTTACACTGCTGCCAGGCACCCCTTGCCTAGCCACGCCTACCCTAAAGTATGCATTGTAAACCTCATTTCAGGATGAGAAAACTGAGTCCGCAGCTTGTGTTGAAAACAAGACCAAAAAAAGAACAAACAAATGAAAAACACAAAAGAACAGGCTTAAAATGGAGTTGCTTATGCTAAGCCCCATGTCACCAAGACTTAATTACAGCTTCAGCTCTCTCAGAAATGGAATCTTAAACCAGTCAATCAGGAATCCCCTGCCATTCCCTAAAGGGAAGTAGCCAACCCACTTTTCGTGTAGTAAACCCCCTTGTTCCCGCTCCCTTCTGCTCTTAAAATCCTTCATTTTGCCCAGCTCCTCGGAGCTCCTTTCTCTCTGCTAGATGGGATGCCGCCCAACTTATGAATCGTTGAATAAAGCAAATAAGGATCTTTGAAAGGTACTCGGTTAACTTTTGTTTTTTTACACCTGCTAAGTGTCAAAGCTCATGCTCTCTTTGATGACTTCGGAGCCTCACCCATGCTCCCACCAGTGGGATCACGTTGGGGCTCAAATTATCCATGCTACAAGAGAAAGGGCTCTCTAAGGTAGCTGTACCTTGTTCCAGGAGCCTGGGCGGGTGGACGTGGAGCAGGGAGAGGCCCGAGCAGCCAGCCCAGGAAAGCCGTGTGGGGAATGTGGGCTGCGCTGGTCACTTCTCCCTTCCAAGTCCCTCCACTGGTAAATAGGGGTCGGTCCTCACAGGCTGCTCTGTATACAGTTGCAGAAAGATGCAGAAAGGACCCAAAACTGCCACCTGTCCCCATAAGTGTCACAGGCCCCTCAGTATGCTCCCCAGCCCAGGAGGCTCACAGGGACAGCCAGGAGGTCTCTAGGGAGATGGTCTGAGTTTGGGGGCGTGAGGTGGGGGAATTATAACAATAACCTGCATGTGTCGAGTGCTGGCACAATGGATCTCTGTCCATTGGTACCTGGCCCTCTATTCAACTTAGTCTCTGTCCCCGAGGCCCCGTCTGTCCCTCTGTCTCTCTCTGGCCTCTTGCAGGTCGGATATTTTCAACCCTCACAGCCCTGTAAAATGGGAACTAGCCCCATTTTAGGCAGGAAATAAGTGAGGTTGGGACCAGCTAGGTCCCACGCTGGAGCTAGGATTGGAAGCCACTTGATATGATACACACTAGAGTAGAGGGTGTGAGTCTCTGGATATGTTTCTTGGGGTGAGGAGAGCTGACAGCCAGATCTCTTGGGGTGTGTTTCTGTGGGTACACCTGAGAGTCAGGATGTGTGTCTTGGGGAGACTGAACATGTCCAGCTGACCTGGGTGTTGATGGGCAGGACAGATCCTGCGGACGACCCCCCTTCTCATGCTCAGACCCACTGGAACTCCCCAGCCTGGCCACCCCCTTCCCTCTTGGCTCCCTGTAGGGCAGAGAGTTTCCGGGGGAACTGGGACTGCCCTTGGGGGGGGCGGCATCTGAGTGGTCACTACTCTGATAGGGGCTGGGAGAGGCGAGGAGGGGATCCCAGCAATGTACAGGGACCCCTGCCTAAGACAGCTTTTCCTAGAGAGTCTGCCACAGGGCAGAGAGCTCATGGCTGGGACAGACAGCTGCTGGCCGGCTGTGTTGGGGAGCCCAGGACGCCAGCCAAGGGCAGGGCTCGGGACTGTTTGCCCCAGGCCTCTTCTGGCCACCCCACCCCCAAGGGCGGGTCCTAGTACCAGTCTCTGTCCGCCCGGCTCTTCCCTCCCCCGCCCCCGCCCCCCCCTCTCCTGTTTCCAGCTCTTCGGTTCTGAGAGTTGTCTTTCTCTGTCCCTGTCCCCATCTATCTTTTCTTTACCACAGCCCTGTCTGTGACCCTCTCTGGCGATCTCTGTCCATTGGTACCTGGCCCTCTATTCAACTTAGTCTCTGTCGCCGAGGCCCCGTCTGTCCCTCTGTCCCTCTCTGGCCTCTCGCGGGTCGGATGTTCTCCACCCCCAGGACTCCAGATCTCCTGACTGGCGGCGGGTTTCGGCGGGAGGGG